GAGCAGTTCTACTCTGTCCTTTGGGGTCGGTATACTTCTGTAGTGATACTGCTTTGGAGACCCAAGGAGGGGTCGCTATGAGTCAAGGCCGACTGATGGCAAATAACAACAACACAACATGAGTTGGAATTTGCTCTATGGGAGTGGGTTTGATTTTGATTTTTAGGGCCTATGTCCACAAAGTCTAAGTCATAGGTCTGGGAAGGTCCCAGAAATACACATTTTCATCAAGGTTATATCTTGATGTCATTATGATACAGTGATTATGATTCAATGCTCTGCACTTTGAGAAACCCAGTAAATACCAGGATTGCATAATGCTAATGGGCTTCTTTGCTCAATAAAATATTTGCAAGGAAAGTCCAGCTTTTGGCCTTGAAACATTGGATTGGTTTCCAAGAGTTTGTTGATACTGAAAGGTTATTCTTCTTACCTGTACAATGACCTTGGGGTCAAACTGGGGCAGGTGATGGATGAAAATTGTAGTCCCTGCTGTCCATGGTTCAAACAGGGCCCCTATTGCAGCCAAAATCCAGCCTGTGTCCGACAGGCACCAGATGATATCGGATGATTTCAGTTGTAGCCATTTCCTGCTAGCTCCAAAATACAGTCATCTCAACTGTGTGATCAGGGGCCCACTTCTGTTTTTCAGGTAGGGACCCACCCCTCTCACTCCAGTTCATGTGAGCTGCAGATCCACCCCGCTCCCCTAGTTCCCAAAGATGTGCTGCTAATTAATGAGTCTATTTCCTTGGTCCCATGCAACTTAAACTGGTACAACCAGATGATCCTTAAGGTTGTTGCTGGTAAAGCTGGGCCCCAGTCTGTTGGTCTTTTGCTGAATTTGAATCTGTTACAGATATAGTCCCAGGTGATGCCACCAGCTATTGACAGACAGTAAGGGATGAGCCTTTCTGAAAACAGAGTCAATATAGCGGAAGAGCTGAGAGAAGGAGAAAAGAAAATGTGACTTGGAGGCTATCCAGATATGTCTGAAGCCAAACTCTGGACTTCTCTGTTTTGTGAACTGATAAATTCTTTTATTCTCTCTTTGGCTCACAGAGGTTTATGTTGCCTTTTCTGTCATTTTCAATGGACAGATAACCCTAATAATACACTATCTTGACAAGGGAGTGGAAGCAATTATCCCAAGGGCAATAATCTATGCATAATTGGAAAGTTGTGTGTGTTAGATTTTTTATTCTTCATCCCAATTTTAGTGCCTTTTGAGGGGCTCTGGTTATAGTTCCTTGAGGAAACACAACTTTCCCCCTTGCTGTCTATGGCTTTGAGAAGCTTCTGTTAGCAGGAAGGAACTTTGAAGAGTCATCTGCATTCCCTCAACATATCCCTTTTAGAATTTGTGGCACATTTATAGGAAATCACAAGTTATGGGGGGAGACCTTCCTTCTGAGCTTCACTACCTCCCTCAACTACCCACTGGATGGACTGTGTCCTCTGAGATGTGTCTCAGGCATCTCGAAGCCAGCAAATCATCTCCTGCCTTCCTTGAACTGAGTCTCCTCCGGTGTTCTCTGTGTTTCAATGAATGTCCTCATCATCCATGAAACTGTTCAAGCTAGGAACCTGGGAGTCAACCATGACACTCTCTTCTTTCTTACCTCCCGCATCTAGCCAGAAGCTCCTGTCTACTCTGTCTCCTGAGATCTCAAGTCTCAATCTTTCATCTCTATGTTACCTGGTCCAGGCCACCACCATCTTGCACATGGGTTATTCTAACTGGTCCCCCAGACTCCATTCTCTCTTTCTCCAACTCATTCTCTGTCCTGCAGCCACAGCCATCTTTTAAAAATACAAGCTCTCACTACCTCCCCATGGTTTTCCAAAAAGGTCCTAACTCCATAGCCCACAGGGCCCTGCATGATCTGGCCTTTGTATATTTTTCTGGTTCTTCCTATGGGTCCTTCACCAGCCAATAAGTACCAGTTATCCTCAAATCTTCAAAATTCTTGGAATACTACATTTTACATCTATTTGCCTTTGCACATATTAATCCCACTGCATGGAAATCTCTCCATTCATCTCATTTCCCATTCTTCCTGGGTTTTTGCTACTTAAACCATAAAACAGTTGTCATGGAACTAATTCCCATTCATGGCAACGTCAGGTATTGCTGAGCTCCATCAATTAGCTCAAAAGCCCACTGCCCACAAGAAGCCTCTGCTGACCCTGTTCTGGTTTAATAATTTAGAAAATAGATAGAATTAAGTCTAGTCTGAGTATTGCCAGTTTGAAGGCAGAAGGAGGGAAGAAGAGATTCTATTGAGAGTTCATTAAAGGATGAATCCTCAGGTGAGTGCTTCAGCTTCTCTGTATTGCTTCATTTATTTTAGGGGCAGTGGCTTATGGCGTGACTGGCTCCAGGTATGTCTTCCAAGAAGTTTAGTATTTGCAGCCCTATCTCTGACTTGCCCATAATGGAGGAGAGGAGAGGACCTGTCACTCAGGCTATATTGCCAGAAACGCTCTTTCCCCACCAAACCCTGGAGGTACTTACAAGGAAACAAAGATTTGTTAATTGTGTGATTTGGAGAATTCCTGCTTTCTCCAGCCCCATTTGTCCCCACACATCCTGTGAAAGTGCTGAGACACAAACGTGACTCCTGTGTTGTTCCAAGACTTTCAAGTGTTTGTCAGCAAACACCTAGAATTCCCCAGCTCTCACCTCTGAGACCCTCAGAGGTCAGAACCAAACAAAACACACAGCCACACACACACACCACACATTCTTCACCCACCGCACCCCACACATCCTCCACATACACATACCTACCCTCTCCACACATAAACACACACCACACACATGCACACACATACCACCCCAGATCTGTGACCTAGCCTCTAAGTTGATGTCCTCTTTCCTACCATGAAGGGAAGGAGGATCGTAAGGCAAGTCCGTGGTTGTGTTTTGCCATCTTGGGGAAGCCTGTGGTCCCACTGGTGAAGAAGATGACCATTGGTTCCATGGTCTTTGACTTAATGCAAGTGTGGTCTGGGGAAGCTGATCTGCAAAGAGATTTAAGACAGAAGGAGAACAGTCACATTTGCTGTTTTTCCATCCTCTGGAGAAACAAAGGAAAGAATATGAGGCTTTGAGTCAGGAAACTAGAGGTTTGCAACACAAAATAAATATATTGGTTTTAGGTGTCATACCGACTACGTGGGTAATTTGGACAAGAGGACCGCCATTTCTTCACTTTAAAAATGGGGGAAATACAGTGATTTAAAAAAACTAACAAACACTGAAGTAACACTTACTATGTCCCAGGAAATTGTCTAAGTGATTTATGATTATGAACTTATTTAATCTTCAGAGCAACCCTAAGAGATGGTTACTGCTCTTATTCCCATTTTGCAGATGAGAAAACCAAAGCTCAGAGAGGTTAGATAATTTGCCTGAGAAGATAGCACTAGGAAGTGGCAGAGCCAGAATTCAAATCCAGCTTCCAACCTGTTCAGCTTCCCAGCTCATGGAGTAGGTGTCTTCTTCCACCATTCTGCAGAAAGTACAATCATTAAGGAACCAGAAACTCACTCGATCAGTGACCGGAAGTCCAGCCACCCTTCACGGTGGTGGTTAGACACTAGGAGCTTAGTTTTCAGAGAGGGGCACTCAGAAGCCACAGAGTCCACCTCAGGGGCAAGAGTATCTGTGGTCACGATGCCTTTAGCTTGAGATATTTGTAGCCGATAGAGAATGTCCCTGGCTGTCATCTGGGTGGTTCCTGGCATGAAGATTATCCCTGAGGATGAGAAAGGAACTATTTACTTTCTGTTACTCTTTCACAATCATGGGGCTCTGGTCTGACTTGTCTGCATAGAAATCCCCTAATCTCTTGCTATGCAAAAGAATGGTAAAGGAACCAACAGCTTTGGTATCACCTAGGAGCTAATTTGAAATGCAGAATCCCAGGTTCTGTTCCAAACCAACAGAATCAGAATCTGCAATTTAACAAGATCTCTGGGTGATTCCTATACACATTAACATTTGAAACTCCTGCTCTAACTTCTTCTACTATAGATGGGTCCAACCATAAGTCCTTACTTTACATAACTTTACACTGGACATGGGAATATATATATGAGTAAAACACTCAAGATTAACTGTCCTTCCACTTCCCTCTCTGTTGGTCTCTTGATGTCATCTTGAATCTCCTCTCTCCCTTCATTCCTCATATCCAATTAATTGGTAACCATATTGTCCTTTGCACTTTTCTGCCTTCCCTTCCATCTCCACCACCAATAATTTCTTCAGGCTATTGTGTGCCCAACTGAACTTTAACCTTGCCACCTGATACCCTTTCCAGAATCCTCCTGCTACCTCCTGCCAAACTTTTGCTTAGTTACATTCCATAAAGTATAAATTTTTCTCCCCATTTTTTTTTTTCCATTCCTGTACTATCACCTATGTCCTCTTTCCAAGAAAAGCTGTCCGTCATGGCATTTAGGATGCTGCCCACTCTCCAGCTTTCTCTTCTCCAAATCCCGTTCTCTATTTCAAAAGGGCCATTCTTCATGTAGGCTATTCCTTACTTTAAATCTTTGCAAGTGCTATGCCCATGCCTTCCTTTGCTGCTTCAACTTTTCCTCAATTCTGTTCATCTCAGAGAACTCTGCTCAAATCTTGTTTTTCCCATGGGTGGTCTCTTACCTATACAGATGACCTGACTTTTCTTCTCCATACGCCTTCTGCTCTTGCTGTTACTTTTTGATTCCACATGACCTTGCTGACTTAATCAACTATTTCATGTATGAGAGAATACACAAGAAGGAGAATATATAAGCAAGAGAGAGCATGACAGAGTGTTGCATGAGCATGCAAGATAGAATAAGAGAAGTGAGTCAATAAAGAATCCACAAGTCCCACAGTGCTTCTAAATTAGAGATACCTAGATATATCTAGTTGTCATTGAGTTGCTTCCAGTTTATGATGACCTTGTGTGTGTCAAAGTAGAACTGTGCTCTGTAGGGTTTTTTAATGGAAACAGATCACCAGACCTTTCTTCTGAGGAGCCTCTGGGTGGACTTGAACCTCCAACCTTTCTGTTAGCAGCTGAGATCATTAACCTTTGTATCACCCAGGGACTTCAGGTAATTAAAAAGGAGGAGTGAAAACTCTTCTTTACTAGCTAATAAATGCAGCTAATAAATATAGAGGGAATGTTCAAAATAGAAAATCACCATTTAAAACCACCCTAGTAATAGTTCAATCAAGAATTATCAATGACTAAACCATTGGATCAAAGACTGTTGGAGAATAGGAAACTTCCTAGTCTCATAAGAATTACAGCACAGGTTATTTATAAATTACAGAGGAAAATGTGCCGTACAAAGGAGAAATCTGATGGACACTAACTTACTCAGGTGATCAAACAATATCACGGATGATGGGACAAAATGAGTTCATATGCCACACAAATGGGATCACTAAGAAAGCCACGACATCTTCGTTGTAGAGCTGCCAAAAATCTTTAACCTGAATATAAT